AAAGCGTCCCGGAACGCTCACAGGCCGACCCGGAACGCTCTGAAAACGCCGCGGCTCCCGAGACATCCTCCAGAGCTGCCGGATCTCAGAAGTTCTCGATCTATCCTCACCCGAATTTGTCCTCGTCCTGGCTTCGTCTGATCCGTTGACACCCCCCGGTCAGTCCGCAGCAGCCGCCGACGCCTCTCGCCGCAGGGCCTCCGCGGGGTTTCGAGGTGCGCTAAGCCCACGGTGCGCACGCACCGCCCCTGTAGGCTGCCCCCGTGTCATCCTCCTCCTCCTCCTCATCCTCCCCCCCCTCCTCCTCTCCCTCCTCTCCCTCCTCTCCCTCCTCCTCCTCCTCCTCCTCCTCCTCCTCCTCCTCCTCCTCTCCCTCCTCCTCCTCCTCCTCCTCCTCTCCTCCTCCTCCTCCTCCTCCTCCTCCTCCTCCTCCTCCTCCTCCTCCTCCTCCTCCTCCTCCTCCTGGTCCACGGTGAACACGGGCCACGTAGGCTGCCCCCTGCGTCCAGAGGGGGCGGCTGCGGCCCCTGCGCGCCGGGCCCACCCGCCGACCAGGCGGCGCGGGACCTTGGGGGGCGCGCAGTGGGGAGGCGATCAATGGGGGCGGCCGACCAGGCGGCGCGGGACCTTGGGGAGTGCGCAGTGGGGGGGGGGGGGCGATCAATGGGGAGGGGGGGGTGGGGGGGGGGGGGCATTTTCTGCCTTTGCAAATCAGGGCGCGCCCCGATGAACGGGGACCCACGTACAGTCAGCATCAGTGCCCAGGCGGGTGGTTGGCTGCCCACTCTTGGGCGGGAGCCCTCTCGCCAGGCGGGACGAAACACGACGGCCAGCACATGTGGCTCCCGCGGGAGGGCAGAGGTCGGCCAACGCCTGAACCCAAATCGGGGGGCGGCGAGGGCCGCAGAAAGGGGCCCTGGGCCCGAAAAGGGCACCGTTCTCCCCCCCCCCGATTCGTCGCCCCCCAGTAAGCCGCGCCCAAGGACCTCTCGGAGGGGCGGGAATTTGCAGCCCCTCCACCCCCCCCCGCTACACGCCGGTCGTTGAAAATATTGTTGGGATTCCCAGATCCCAATCTGCTTCCAGCGCCTTCCTCCTTCAAGAACCGGCCGCTGATGCTGTGTTGTGTTGCTCTCTGCGAGGGCCTGGACCCAATCCACTTTACCCGCCTTCCTACTTCCAGTGTCTCCCAGACTCTTCAGTTGGCTCCCTCCTCTCCTCCGCCTGCAGCTTGGGCTCGCGCGGTCCTATCGGAAGCGCTCCAGTGGAAAACGACAGGAGTGGGAGGCAGGGGACCAACTTCCTGTCTTTGCCCACCTCTTCCGACCGACATGCAGCCAGCACCTCCTCCACGCCTCGTGCCCGCGCGGCCCTCTGCTCGAGCCGCCCTGGCGCCGGGGGCCAGCGGCCGAGCCCCGCGGCAGCGGCGGGCACGGCCCTGGCGGGCGCCCGCGGGCCGCGGCGCTCTTCCCTCATCCTCCTCCTCCTCCTCCTCCTCCTCCTCCTCCTCCTCCTCCTCCTCCTCCTCCTCCTCCTCCTCCTCCTCCCTCCTCCTCCTCTCCCCCTCCTCCTCCCTCCTCTCCCTCCTCCTCCTCCTCCTCCCTCCTCCTCTCCTCCTCCTCCTCCTCCTCCTCCTCCTCCTCCTCCTCGGCTGTGCTCTCGCGGGGGCCTCGCCGGGGCCTCGCGCCTCCGGCCGTGCGCGAGGAGCGCCCGTGGCGTGCGCTGCTGCCCGCGGCGGCGAATGCGGATACCCGGGCCTCCTCCAGGGCCGGGCCCGTGTCGGGCCTCGGGTCCCCCCCCCCCCCGCGTTCCTCGGGTGGCCGTTAGCTTCTGCTCCTATTCCTCCTCCTATCGGGGGAGCGTAAGACCCGGGTTTGCCAGGACTCGGGTTCGCCATCGTTTTTTGACGACCGCGCCTCGGATTTTGAACGAGGAGGAGTTTCGTGGGATATCTGCAGCGGGAGGCCTCGTCAAAATGCAGGTTCGGCCTCGTCATTTTTTTGATGACCTCGTCGGGGATTTCCGAGTCCCCTGTACCCAGGTCTTACGTCCCCCTGATCCTACGCGTTCTTTTCTTCATTGGCCAAGTCGCGCATACGAGGTCACACCCCGTGGCCCAAGTGGCTGCGGAGAAGGCAAGGGGAGCGGAGGGGGAAGCGAGACGGATGCAAGCAAGTGCGGAGGGAGGGTGCAGAGAGACTAACTACGCTTCACATTTGTGAATCCGCGTTTGGCGGCACTTCCCCACGCTTGGCCGCAGTAAAGAGGTGTCCCGCGCGTCGGGGGGGGAAGGGGTCTCCCCTCTCCCTGTCGGCCAGAGCCCGACGAGGGCTTCGGTCGCGTCGGCACCGGTGCCCCGGCTCGGCCTGCCGTGGGCCAGGCCGCGCGTCGGGGGCCCAATGGATCGGGGGAGACGAGGCCGTCAGCGATTCGATCGATTCGGCGATGCGCGCCGACGCCTGTCGCGTCAGAATAACTCGGCGCGGGGATCCCCAGGCGATCATCTATAGATTGCACCGCGTCCATGGACGAGTGCGAGGTTGGGCTCGAGCCAGAATGTGGGGGCGACTGGGCGTGAGCGGGTCTGAGTGTGCGCAGATGCGCTTGGGCCACTGCTGGCAAGCGGGACTGGGCGAGACCAGGTCCGTCAAACACCACATCGAGATGACCATGAGGCTCTGAGAAGAGACCCCTCTGCTGGGCCAAAACAAGCGTTTCGCTGGCGAGGCCCCCCAAATCTGGGCGCAAACGGGTCCGTAAGGGCACCCCTGGTCGACACCCCACTGGGGAGCTCAAACGCCATGCTTGCTACATCCTGGTAACCATGGGGGACGCCCACTTGCCATGCCTGCCACGTCGCAGCGACCATGGAGCTCTGAGGAGAGGCCCGTGTACAAAGCCAAAACGGGCCCTTCGTCCCCCATAGTAATTTGACCCCGAATTCGGGCCCGTGAGACACCCCTGCCGGGTCGGCGCCTCGTGGAGGCGCCCAACTGCAATGCTGACCACATCGCGGCGATCGTGGGGCTCCGAGGTAAGACTTAGTCCACTGTGCCGAAACCGGCGTTTTGCTCGGGAGGTCCCTGCAACATGGGCGCGAATGCGCCCGTGAGGTTTGCCCGGTCGACACGCCTTTTGGGGCGCCTAAGTGGCATGTCTATCACATCGCGGGGATCACGGGGATCTGAGACGAACCCAGTCTATTGGGCCAAGACAGGCGTGTCGTTGAAGATCTCCCTACAAACTGGGTTCGAACAGGCCTGTGAAACACCCCCCGTCGGCACTCCCTTCTGGGATGCCCCGATTCAATGTTTGCCGCATCGCGGTGACGATGGGGCTCTGAGAAGAGGTACACATACTGGTACATTGCGGATGTTGCGCTTCAGAGGCTCCCACAAATTAGGCGCGATTTGGCCCGTGAAACACTAGTGTTTCACGGGCCCGTTCGAGATCTAAGTGCGATGCCTGCTACCTCGCGGTGATCATTGCAGTCACAGCATGAGTACCATCAGGACCCTAAGAATGAGTGAGTAGACCTAGGAAGCATTTAAGAATCCCCCGTTCGTCCAGTGGCGAGATAACGCATCCGGCAGCTATCGAGCTGTAAGAGACGGGGTTCGATGCAAACGGGGGTCAGCCAGAGCGCCAGATCTTGCAGGATCCTGCAGAGCCAGGGCTGCACTGACCCGAGCTAGCATGCAGGATCCTGCAGGATCTTGCAGGATCCTTCAGGATCTTGCAAAGCCTGACTGGCTCGTGTTTGCATTGACCCGGGTCAGTGTGTCCCCGAACCCAGGAACCGTTGCAGTGGCACCCGGCATTCCTCCTCCTCCTCCTCCTCCTCCTCCTCCTCCTCCTCCCCCTCTTCACCTTTACAGGACCCAAATTGGATCCCAATAGGACGCCAATAGGATCCCAAAAAGGAGTCCAAATACGATTTAAATAGGACCCCAATAGAATGCCAAAACACATCCAGTATGAGCACAACTGGATTTCAAAAGGATCCCAGTTAAACCCCAATCAGAATACAAGATGGCCCAAATGGATTCTAAAATGGTTCCCATAAGACTTCAATTCAATGGGAGCCCAGTAGAATCCTTACAGGATTGCAACAGGATCCGAACGATCCACCAATAGAATTCCAATCGGATCCCGATTTTGGATCATTTTTGCCCAAGCGATCGCATGCCTTGCCTTGGTCGGCCGCCCGTGATGGCTGCTCGTGGCGAGGCTAGAGGGGCTCTGGCTGTGGCCGATGGCGCTGCGCTCGTCGCAGCTGCCGTCCGTGCTGCGGTCGACGCTGGCGCGCCGAGGCGCATTGCGGGCGCGGTGACGCGCTCGGCCATCTCCGCCGTGGCTTTCGCCGGGGCGTCGAGGGTGGCCGAGCCCACTGCTGCTGGTGGTGCCGCGGCGGGTGGCGACAAGAACGTGGAGCGGCGCCGTCGGCGACGCGCTGCGTTGAAGGCGAGGCGGCAGGAGGGCGGGCGCGGCGCGGCCGCTGCGGAGCCCCCTGCAGGACGTGGAGCTGGACATGTGGGTGGAGGCGGGCGGGCGGGGGAGGTGCCTGCGGCGGTGCGCGCCGCGGCGGCGCCCTCGGAGCTCGCGGACGCCCTCATGATCGACGACACGGCCAGCCTCGGCGACGGGTGGGCCGACGCCCCCATGCCCCGTGCGCGGCGGCGGAGGCGGCGCAGGGCCTCTCGCGGGGCGGACTCGGCGGAGGCGGAGCCGGGCGTGGCGACCGCGGGTGCGGCGCCTGCGGCTGGCGGAGCTGGCGCAGCTCGGGACGCTGGCTTGCGCGCCTTGGAGCGCGGCGAGGCGGCGGCGGCGGCGGAGGCCGAGGCGGAGAAGCTCCTCCGCAGGCTCGGCGCCGCCCTCGAGGCGCTGGGGCGCCCCTTCGCTCGGGACGTCCTCCCGAGCGACCCCGCGGAGCTCCGCAGCGCGCTCGCCCTGGTGGAGCCCTGCGCGGCGCCCCTCTCGGGCGGCGGCTTTGGGCCGATCGCAGGCCTGCGGAGCGGCGCGGAGCGGCAGCGGGCTGCCCCTCCCCAGGGCGGCGGCGGCCACGCCTGTGGCGATGGCCCGCGGCCCTCCCGGCTCCTCGTCGGTTTCGCGTTCGAGGCCGTGCGCGGGCTGGGCCTGGCCCTGTGCCAGGAGCTGGACGAGCGTGCTGCGCGCTCTTAGGCTGCAGGAAGATCCCGATTTGGGATGCCAATATGATCCCACTACTACACCCCAGTGAACTCCGAGCAGAACCGCAGCACGCCTGCAGTAGGAACCCAATATGGCCCCAGTCGGATTCTAATGGGATCCCAATCGTCTCCGATGGGATCCCAATAGGACCCTAAGAGCATTGCAATAGCGTTCAAGTGCGATCCCACTCGAATCCAAGTTAGATGGCAGTTGGATCTCCAGACGATCCAGATACGATGCCAAAGAGGACCCCAGAAAGGCCTGAGGGGCCACACAGACGGCCCGAAAATCTCGCGAACGAGCCCCAAGAGGGGCCCAAGGGCGCAAAGCGAAGCGCGTTCGGCATGTTTCCCCGCAAGATGTCTCCCGAGATCCCAAAGAGAGCCCCAAGAAGCCCACAAGAGGCTCATAGGGCCCCCCAAATGGCACCATCGAAGGCCACCCGACGCCAGCAAGAGGCTTGTAAAGAGTCCCTGGAGCCGTGCCAAGAGATCCCGAGAGGCATCCTAGGGGCTGCTGGCCCACGACCCGGACGCGGTGGCGGGATGGCCGCATACGTACGGAAGAAAGTGGCTGAAGGTAGTGGTGGCTTTCTACTAAGGCAGGGGGCGTCTTAGACGCATGTGGTGCCTCCTACGCCCATTCTAAGGAGGACGCCCCCCTCGCCCAACCAAAAGGTCCAGGGGCAGCCGTTTGCCCGCGCGCACGGTGCCGCCTAGAAATTGTCGCGCGCGCGGAGCGCACGCGACCGTTTCCAGCACTCACGCACTACAAAAAAGAATGGGATCCACAACGCTTTCGCACCAAAAAACTGGATCCGGAAGGTGGATACATGATATCAAAGTGATTGTACACAAACATGACGGGATCCAAGGGGAGCCATCACGTCTCATGCCATAGGGAAAAGTGTTGGCCGGGGATGGCAAGAACGAGCGAACATCCATTTTCGTCGGCGGGGGGGGGAGCAGGCCAAAACCCCCAAAGGAAACTATTCAGCGAAAGCGAAGTTTGCACTGGTGGGGGAGACGCAGGTCAAAACCCAAATGAAGGAAATTGGCGAAAACGCCGCTGGACGCATGTCAAGGCCCCACTGCACTCAAGGGAATTGGCGAAACTGCCCCTTGCGCTGGCGGGGGAGACGCAGTTCAAAACCCCACAACTGAAATTGGCGAGAAAACGCCGTCTGCGTCGGCGGGGGAGACGCAGGTTAAAACCCCAATGAAGGACACGTGTGAGAAAGCCGCTTGCGCTGTTGGGGGAGACGCAAGTCAAAACCTCACGTGTGAAAAGCCAGCGATTTCCCCCTTGAGCCCCAGCTGCCGATGTCCTGGTCATCCTTCCCCTACTGTTTTTCCTCATCATTCTCCCGCGCGTCTTCTCATGTGTCCTGCCCCACCCCTCCTCTTTCGCAACGAGCCCCTCGCCGATAGAATCATAGCCCAGGTCTGCAGATCGATCCGTGGCTCCGTGGGTCCCACATATTGTGGGCCCAGAGTTAACTATCGAAGACACCTTCGGCGAATCACCGCCGCCCCCTGCCTTTTGGAATCGCCCATGTGGCCGAGCGTTGTGGCCTGAGCTCTGCAAAGCTATCCGACCGTGCGCCCCCCCCGCAGTTGTGGAAACCCTTCGGGGAACACGCGGGGAAGAAAGAAGAAACGGAGGACGGAGGACAAATAGAGAGGAGGAGGAGGAGGAGGAGGAGGAGGAGGAGGAGGAGGAGGAGGAGGAAGAGGAGACAGAGGAGGCAGAGGAGGAGGAGGAGAAGGACTCTTGGGGCCTTCTGGGAGCATCTTTTGGGCCTCTCGGCCCCCCGCCTTTTGGAATCGCCCATGTGGCGAAGAGGAGGAGGAGGAGGTGGAGGAGGAGGAGCAGGCTCAGGAGGATCAGGAGGGGAAGGTGGAGGGATGGAATGGGATGAGGTGCAGCCGTGTGCCCCGCCACACGGCGCCCATCGGCGGGCCCGCGCCGGCCAGCCCTGTTGGCGCGCACGACCCCATCTATTGCCGCGCACCAGTGTACAGCAACCGGCTCATCGCCAAGGACGGGGGTGCCTCCTCACTCTGCAGAACGAGGGTCGGGCAGCAGAGGGAGGAGTTGGATGAGAGTAGCAGTGCAGCCACGATTGTATTATGACGACGGCGACGCGAGCGGCCGCGACGACTACGACGACGACGACGACGACGACGACGACGACGACGACGACGACGACGACGGCTGCGAAGACGACGACGGTTGCAACGACGACGAGGACGACGACGGCGACGTCGACGACGACGACGACGACCAACATATTGCGACGACGACGACGATTGCAACGACGACGACGGCGACGGCGGTGACGACGACGACGGTTGAAACGACGACGGATGCGGCAGCAACGACGACGACGACGCCAGCGGCGCCGGCTGGGGCGAGAGGTGGGGCCCCGCTCGCCCGCCAGACTCAACGTCCCGCCCGTGCCCTCGTCGTCGTTGACTTCGTCGTCGTCTGCCCGCGGCGACCAGGGAGGGGGGAGAGGTCCGACTGAACGTCCCGCTCGTCGCCTTTGTCGTCGCCGACGTCACTGCTGGCGATGAAAGGGGGAGCCCCGCCGCCCGACTGAACGTGCCGCCCGTCGCATCCGCCGTCTTCTACGTCGGTTGACGGCGGCGAGGGGGGGGGATTCGACCCCCCCCCCGAGTGTCAAGTTCGAGGGGGGGGGGATAGGGGTGGGGGGGGGATCGCTCGGAGGGAGGAGGGACAGAATTTCGCAGCAAGTACTGCGCACACTGAAGTCGCACTCTCGGACACCGGGTACTTCAGCCTAGCGGGTAACAACGCTTGGGCGCAGCGACAACGGTTGAGACCGCCATCCGGTTGAGTTCACGACGAGCCCTGGGATTGTAGAACCCCCCTCAGAGGGAGGAGGCGCCTCCTCCGAGCGGGAGTCCGAGCCTCCTCCGAGTGGGGAACCCCGCCTCTCACGCGTGCGCCAGGAATGATGAGACAAGCTTCTGGGACTCATCGTCATCATCATCATCATCATCATCATCATCATCATCATCATCATCATCATCATCATCATCATCATCATCATCACCACCACCATCATCATCATCATCATCATCATCAGCATCAGCATCAGCATCATCATCATCAGCATCATCATCACTATCAGCATCATCAAGATCAGCAGCAGCATCATCATTATCAGCATCAGCATCAGCATCAGCATCACCAGCATCGTCATCATCGTCATCATCATCATCACATCTTCAGCATCAGCATCGTCATCATCATCATCATCATCATCATCATCATCATCAGCATCATCATCAGCAGCAGCATCACCATCGTCATCAGCATCATCATCATCGTCATCATCATCGGCATCATCGGCATCATCGTCATCATCAGCATCCTCAGCATCATCATCATAATCAGCATCATCATCAGCACCGGGGACACCCTTTGGCGCACGTGGCCGCACCACAACGTCGCCGGGGGGGGCCGAGCACCAGCAGGGACTGGTGCTCCAACTCGGGCCTGCTGCCGTGCCTCCCTGGGCTTGACCCCCTGCTGGCCCGGCCGCGGGGGAGGCTGAGCAGCAGACCAGAGCAGAGGGGTCTCCCATCTCGGGGGCGGCAAAGAGGGGGGTGATGACTAGGGGGGGTGGATATCATGGCGTGGGCCATGATATTTCCCCAGGTTTCATGGCGCCTACAGACCCACATTGAAGCAACGAGCACCATCAGTAGTTGTTGCAAGAAATTTCACATCCGCACGGCCAAGCGAAGAAGGTATGCCGAATATGCCGAGTTGCTCAGAATGCTCGGACGACCACCGCACAGCTGCTTTCGAACAGCAAAGATCATGTATCAAGACGTCGTCATTCCAGACAACTCTCGGACGACTCAGGGACAGCACAGATGGAAGACAGCCGCCATTACATGTGATTGCAGCACCCGGTTGTTTGTTTCCACGACGTTGACATAACCAGCGCAACAGCAGCAGCTTCACGAAGAGCACGCGTCATAAGAAACGTTCCTTGCAGTACGAGGAGCCTGGCACTAAAGCCACCACGATTGTAATCAGTTTCGTCACCAGTGCCAACCACGGCACCAGCTGCAGCTGCGGCAGCAGCGCCTCTGGCATTGCCCACTGCAGGTCCGACCGTCATGCTATGGCAAAGTTTTGGGCCTCTGCTCGGACCTCTCCTGGGGTCCGTCCTGGCCATGTTCCCAAGCTGCGCCAAGCAGTGGCGACGAAAACCCCGAGGATCGCCCAAAAAACTTCAAAACGGCGTCGCGGACGGAAGGTCCGATGGCGGTCCCGGGTTTATCTGGCAAGGCCACAGGGAGCAATTTCGCGCGTGCAGATTGGGCTATGAAAAGCACATCATTGGCCACATTCGAGTGCGCATCTAACGCATCCCTGGCCCACCAGGCAGGCGAATGTAGAGCAGAGATCCCGAGGCCAATTTCAAAGCAAGCAGCTTGAATTCTAGAGGTGGTGAATGCATTTCAGATGGTCCAGACTGGAAGTCCATGGTCAGAGACGCAGACGAATCGGCTGTCTCCACTCTGAAAGCAGCTCTCTCGCGCTCGGCGATTACGAGTGAATGATGTTCTTACCATCTAAGTTCCTCTGCCTGCGTCCCCATTTCTACAATTTGTGCCGACGCGTGTCGTTGCGGCCTCATGCTGCCACTCCTCCAAATCAACGCCTAGCGTGTTTGGGGAGTCTCGAACGGAGTTCAGAAGTCTCGCAAGCTCTCCCGCCGGTCATCACGCCGCCTCTGGATAGCGGGGTCTCACTTCAATTCAATGTGTCCCCCCTCCCGTTCCGCTTCCGTTTCTCATATACAAACGCGCAGCTACGAATGCTGCGCTCCTCCCCCCATTTCCTATCTTTCTGGTGCTGGCGCCATGAGGCACCCTAATAGGCGCGAAGGCGAGAAGGCGCGGGGTACAGCACCATGGGCATTCAGGGCGGGCGTTCGTTCAGGAATGTGGCCAGCAGGCTTCAGACCCTCGGGGGGTCCGTATCTGATGGGCACGGCGGTGATACCCATGGCCAAGCCTCAAATCGCCTTCCACCGGCTTCCAGACCCTGGATTCCTTATCCAAGGGTTTCTCATCTTACCGCCGCACGGGAGTCTCGGGCCGGACGAAGGGGGGGGGAGTTGGGAAAGGAGGGGAGTCACGAGATCTGCTGCGTGCAGCTGGTTTCGGCCCCGCCGCCCAGCGCGATCCTCGACACGTGTGGCTCCAGGCGCCGGGAGGCGTCAGGAAAACCGGCGGATGGCATCCGATTCGCGAAACCCGGCCCTTTTGTATCCTTTTCCTTGTCGTCTGGGTCGGGATCGCAGACGCCGGGAGGCGTGCGCAACTGGCGCCCGCCGCGCGCACCGCGTCCTTTTTTATGAACGCGCGGGGCCTCCATGTGTGGACTGTCCTGTCCGTGGAACGGCCGCCATCATTGGATTCTGCTGCCCCTTTTCTTGGGGGTGTCGTCCAGGGCCTGCCTGTCTGTGTCTGATCTCGCGGAGCTTGGATGTTGGAGGCGGAGGACGGGTAGAGGGAGAAGGAGGAGGAGGAGGAGCAGTAGGAGGAGGAGGAGGAGGAGGAGGACGAGGAGAATGAGGAGGAGGAGGAGGAGGAGGAGCAGTGGTGTGCGGGCGATTGCTCGTCGGTCCCCGCTCCTGTAGGACGAGGTGTACCTCCCGGCGGCATCGCACGGACAGGACCAGCTGGACATATGTTGCATGATCGTGGCAGGGATGGCGTCATGAGTTTGCCGCCAAAGGGGTTTCTACGTGCCGATGCCTCGCTCGGAACATCGTCACGAGCGCTCGATGGTTATTTGTTGAGGAGTCCTCGCGGAGGGTTTACCTAGGCCTCCCGGATGGGGTCCTAATATAGATGGGGCCGGGGGATCGCGCCGCATCGACGATGTATCGGCGATGCGGCTCGATGTGGAGTCCAATTTGCTCCACAGCGGCGTCGCCGGTGCGGCGCGACCTTCCGACCCCATCTGCTCGGACCCCAATTGGGAGGCCTGTCAGTGCTGGGAGCGGACAAATCCCATGAGAGCCAGTGGTCAGGAGGGAAAGAAACACACAGACACAATTAATCGGCGATTTCCCAGAAAATATAAGGAAAATATGGGAAGTGGGGGGGAGACATAAACCCAGAAAATATGGTGAATTCTTTTGTTTGTGTGTATTTATTTGTGTGTCCCAGGGCCCCTTCAAGTAGGGAGAGACGCAGAGCAGGTCCAAGGACACGAGCCGTCCTGCGCCCTGAGCTCCCGATGCACGGAGCTCTGGAGCCCTCGCCCGCGACGTGCGTGTGGATGGCGCGGCGTGGGACGTGTTCGGTGGACCCGAGGGCTCGAGAGGGTGTCGAAGGGCCCCCAGCTTCACCGTCGGAAGCTCGGGCCGGACGAAAGGGGGGGATTGGGAAAGGGGGGGGTACGAAATCTGCGGCATGCAGCTGGTTTCGGCCTCACCGAGGGGCCCACCCAGATGGTCTGGTACCGGAAAGTTTCGGTAGCGATTTCGACGCACCCCGAATTTCGGTAGCGACCGGATCTTCGTTTGAGGGCGTTGAAATAGCGGATTTCGGAACGTTCTGATACCGGTATTGGGCGCTGCATTTCGGTATTTCGGTAGCGACCGATCTCTGCGGAGCGCTACCGGAAATTTTCGGTAGCGGACCATCAGGGCAGTCCTCGATACATAGACGCCTCCGGCGCCGGGAGGCGCCGGGAAAATCAGCTGCGTGAGCTGATTCTCAAATTCCCCCTTTGCTATCCCCCCCTTTCGCCCGACCCGAGAGGGGCCACGTCTCCTGTTCCAACCTTCCAAGGGCAGGATCGCCATGGACTCTACGACCTATGACGAGCGCGTTTTCGTATGCGATCATTGCCGTATAGTCAGAAGTTTTGGGGGCTAGGTTCTATCGGTCGGCAGTGTTTGCCCGTCCGACTCTTACGGGAACCCTAAAACAGGGCTACCAGAGACACACATATTATGTGCACAGATGTGTATGCCATTGTGTGGCAAGCATGGTTCGAGAATCAACCGAACTGGTCCTACTCGTCAACATCAGCAGCGTCACCATTATCCCCCTCCGGTTCCTCCTCCTGCCTCGAGGTCCGTTCGGGACAGAGATTCGCATTGTTTGAGCTCGTTCCTCGGCGGCCCCCCGAGCCCTTCCAGCCCCTTCCTGTAGCATGTCGTCGTCCATGCGCCCAAGAGCAGCCCCCCGTGGATCTTCTGTGACGGTCTGAGGCCGTGGCTTCATCATCAAATCCTCAGGCTGTCTCAAAGTCAAAAGGGTCGTTGCCGCTGCATGAACGATCTGCTGCCATCTTCGGCGTGGAGCACACACGGTCTCGAAGGACAGCCCAGAACGGGATGATGAATCCAGATCGGATGTGCTAGTGAATGGCTCCAGACCGTACAGCAGCTCACTCGGCCAGTCTGGTAACAGGTTCAGTGGCAACATTTCATCTTGGAAGCCCTTGCCGAACTTCAGCTATATTCGGAGAGCCTGCCTCGGGGTCCCCAGCAGTTCTAGAGAGTTGGGCAGCTCTCAGAAGATGTATGGATGGTCATGTTTGGGTTAATGAGCGCATTTGACTTTGGAGGGTACGGTTTGTGCATGTGCCAGGGTGTGTCCAGGTGTTTCCTTTCGAGCAGTGCGTTGCATAAAGCATCGTTTCACACGAGTTCACACGAGTCCTGCTCGCGACGCAACGCTGTTTGCGGCCGGCAGCAGAGGCATACATGTTTTTTGATGTGGGGCGGCATGGCCCCACTAAAAAAATCGGCGGAAGTGGCTTGACAGCCAGCAACAAGTAGCAGCAAGTTCCCCCCCCCCCGGGGAAACACGCTTGCGAGCGAAGGGATCTTGGGGCGGCGTCTGGTCCCTTTCTCACAAGTGGTCGCTACTCTTCGACATCCGACAATCCTCGTCCCATCTCTTCCTCCTTCATCCGCCGCAGTATAAAGTTATCTGCTGGCTTGAATACGACGACACAGCAGCGCAGTGCCTTCTAGCGCACGCCCTCACGGCGTGCACCCATTCAGTGGAAGGCGCAGTGCGGGGCGAGCTTATGTTCTCTATCTGATCCGTCCTGCAGAGTTGCACCGGGCGGCCTGATCTCAAGGAAGAGGGGTCGGAGCGGCTGCTGGAGTCTGCGTCTGGATGTGCGAATGAACTGCGCATCACCGCGCCGAGGAGAGGCTAATTAATGGTATTCCTCCTCGAGCGCCTCCGCCCAACACGGTGTACATCTAACGCCACATATCCGAGAGGCAGCCTGCCATATTGCTCTCTTTTTGTCAAGCTTGTCATCGGATATAGGGTTTCGCAGATCCACGTTTGAGTTTGTTTCCCATATCTTCGCAGCGTTTTTTGTCTGAGTCCCAATTGCGCGGCGCCAGTCACCTCGGCGTGGCAACTGCGGCAGAGACTTCGTTGCAGACCATGAGAGGGATGGAGCCAGATTTCTGCAGCGGCGAGCCGCCAGACTCCAAACAGCAGATGCTTCAGCGTTTCAGCTGGGACGATTCGAAGAGCTTGACAGTAGTTTGACGCACAATATTGGGAAGGCCTTGCGGCCCGTACCGCTGACCCTGAAGTGGAGCTCTTCATAGGGCCCTCTTGGAAGCCTCTTGGGCTCTGCTGGGGGACCTCGTCAGGACTTCTTGGGAAGTGCCGTGGGACGTCCTGGAGAGTTTGACGCACGATATGTTAGCATCGTCTCAGCCCTGTTGCGGACAGCTGCCGCCAGGCTCCCCCTGGCAGTCCGTAGAATGACCTCGAGAGCATGGGGCTCTTGCAGGGAGAGGCAGGTGGCGAGGTGGGTCTTGCCCTTCTCTCGGGGAGGAGGGAGAGGAAAAAAAGGAAAAGAAGGAGCACAAGGAGGAGGAAGACGAGACAAGCGCCCCAACGGTTGCATCTCGAAATGCGACTCCGAAGTTTTAAGCATTGCATCCACGAACGGCTTGAAGGGGCTCCCGGGGATCCCTAGCATTCCATATCTTGTACAATTCAGGAGGCGCTCCCGGAAAGGCCTCGCGCTCGGCGCGTTTCGCACTCAGTGGAGGCTGGCGGAAGTAAAGCAGCGGCGGGTTTGCTCGTGCCCAGGATGGGATGACCCCCAGCCTACGGTAGTTTCGTGTCGTGTCGACCTGCGGTGACCCCGCCAGCGGCGTTCAGCTTTGAAGCCGCGGGCGACCCAGAATCGTTCGGTGCGGAACGATATCTGGAGGTTCTGGAAGCGGCCGATCGTTCAAGGTTGAACGATCCCCGCGGTGTCAGAGACCAAAATCGGGGTCGACACGACGCGAACTTGCCGTAGGCCATCGTGTAGATCGCTCCAGAATCGTTCGATGTGTAACGATTTGGAAGTTTCGGATAACGGCCGATCTTTCAAGATGGAACGATCCCCGCGGCGTCAGAGACCAACGCCGGGGTCGACACGACGCGAACCTGCCGTAGGCCCTCCTCCTCCTCCTCGTCCTCCTCCTCCCCCGCCTCCTCCTCCTCGACACGACACGACGTGTAGATCCCTGCCGGCTGATGCACCTCCGCACCTGCACGGGTGGCCGAGGCAGCTGTTACGGCGCCCGCTCCCTCGGGGCAGCAGCGCCCCCCCCCCCGCTCGCAGGCCGGCGGCTCTGCGGCGACGTGTGCTGCCCGGGACGTGCAGAAGACAACTGCCGCTTGCTGCTGGCGGCTTCGAAGGCGCGACCGAGGGGTGTTCTTCAGGAGGGCAAGAAACACACAGACACAATTGATCGTCGACTCCCAAGAAAATATGGGAAAATATGGGAAGTGGGGGGGAAGACAAAGACCCAGTAAATATGGGAAAATATTGATATGTTTATTTGTGTGTATTTATTTGTGTGTCCTGGGGCCCCTTCAGTTTTCTTCGGCACGAACGAAATGGGTACGGGAAAATGGGTACGATGCCCAGCAGCAGTTCCAGTTCCTTCTGAACAGGACTCGCTGTCCGCGCCGCCGCGCATGTTGTTCATTGGAGACAAGGCCGCCTGCCCAACAGCGGCCGCTGTCGGTTTGGGACAACGTTTGCTGTTGGACATCGTACCCATCTTTTCCGTACCCATTTCGGGCGTCCAAATTTCTGCAGCACGGCTCTATCCCAGATTTCTGGCGATTTGATGTTTGTCATTCTGGGTGGGTTTCCTCCAACTCGGCTTCTGGGGGCCTCTGTTGAGCCTTGGGGGCCATCAAGCATGGATCCGGGACGCAGAACCTACCTTCGGGGAAGGGAGGGGGGGGCGGGGCAGGCGTGGGCGAGGGGGTCTGCCAATTTGCGGGGGGTCCGGGTGCAATCTTGCAGGAGAAAGGACTATCTTGGCGGGGACCGCAAGGGAGATGAGATGGAGGATGGGGGGCGAGCAACCTCTGGAGTGCGCACGACGTGGCCAATGTCCCTACAAGACGCGCGCCGCAGGACGGACAAGGCATAGGGCAACACAGGGAGGGGGCGGCGGCTGGAGCAGGAGCAGGAGCAGCACCAGTCAGGAGGAGAAGAAACACACAGAAACAATGAATCGTCGATTCCCCAGAAACTATGGGAAAATATGGGCAGTGGGGGGGAAGACAGAAGCCCAGAAAAAATGAGAAAACATGGGGAATATCTTTATTTGTGTGTATCTATTTGTGTGTTCCAGGGCCCCTTCAACCAGGAGCAGCACCGCCAGGCTGGCGATGACTCCCAGCGCCGCTGCCAGCAGCCGAGGGCAGCCTGCCGGTGGAGGGCCCGCCGCAGCTCCTCGCCGCACGTGCAGACCTGGCAGGTCTCGCGCGCTTCGGCGCTGCGCACCTCCCACGCCGGGTCTGAGCCGGCCCGCTCGGGCAGCATGCCGGCGGGCCGGCGGACGTCCCCGAACGCGCAGTGAGCGGCCCAGCCGAGCGCCCTTCGCCGGGATCGAGCGCAGGGCTCCCCACCCGTGGTCCATGAGCCACGACGCGGACCCGGGAGCGGAAGCCAAAACGGCTGAGGAGCCAACCCCTCTCGCAGAGGAGAGACAATCGTTGGTTGCACAGGTGTGTGTATATATATATATATATATATATGAATGTATGTATATGTGTATATATATAAGTAATTATAAATACATACATATTCTCATACGCACCTCTCCGAGGGAGTAGAGCTCAGAGGCGATTAATGCGTCCGTCGTTCGCGATTTTTCTGGCCGTTTCGCTCGGGACATCCTCGAAATTCTGAAAATCGGTGGCACCCCTCACGCAGATGGTGACGTCAGGGTCCAAAAACACATAGGATTTCCAACATTTTATCATAAAACCTTGAAAAACACATGGTAATTTCAATGATTTTGACTCCGATTCTCAGAGAATGGCGGTTTCGCCTGAGACATCCTCCCAAAATCGAGCCCCAGACCCCTCCTCGGAGCCTCCTGGGGGCCTCCTGGAACCTCCTGGGGCCTCCTGGGGCTTTCTGGACCTTCTGGTACCCCAGACCCCGCCTCGGAGCCTCCTGGAGTTCTCCTGGGCCTGCTGAGGCCGCCTGGGGCCTCCTGGGGCCTCCTGGGGCTTCAGAACTACATGCACACACAGAGACACAAATCACGCCCAACACATCACACGCTAGACAAACATAACATACACACACACACACACCGACAACACACAAAAAGCACGCACCACACAAAGCACACATCACACACACACACACACTCACAATCCTGGGGCCTCCTGGAGCCTCTTCTGGTATCCAAGTCGGGCCTCCTGAGGCTTCCTGGGGGGCCCTGGTACACACATCGCAAGGTGTGGCAACCCCACTTGCGCTCGAGTGCGACTTCGCTGTTGCATGTCACTCCTGCTTCAAACGCCCCTTCAGCTTGTTGTATGAGCCTGGGCACACACGTGCCATTTGTATATATATACACATATATTTATATACATACATAAACATAGTAACCATCCATACAAACACTTATATATATGTGTAAAATCGGCCGGTTCTCTCCGTCTCCTTCATGCTGCTCCTCTTTCCATCATTTTTTCCTCTCGCTTACCTTTGCCTCAGGCTGCCTTTTGGTCGCTTCGGGCCCTGAGCGCCGGCAGTGCCACCGCTCTGATGCATCGGCCCGCCCAGGCGCGGCCGAATCGGGGGGGGTGGTCGGGCAGGAGAGGCAAGAGAGCACGGTCAGGCGGAGCCAGGGCAAGGATGGGCATCCCCAGATCTCCGACGATATGATTGTCTCAATCCGGGCGTTTTTCCTCGAGTTCGGCCCTTCTTGGGCCCGGGGGCAATCAAACATAGATCTGCGACGAAAAACTACCCCCAGGGAAGGGGTCGGGACCTCCCTGGGGCCGCCCATGCATTGAAGAAGTCAGATCGTCGGATGTATGGGTAGGAGCTTGCAGGCAGGTTGGTTGGCGGGCCCTCCCAGAGCTCATTTCATGTCCCTTGCCTTTGGAAGTGTGTTTGGGGGCCGCCTTATCGCTCAGCGGTAGCGGACGGCAGCGGAGCCAATAGGAGCCAATAAGAGGAAGAGGGGGAGGAGGAAGAGGAGGAGGGACAAAAACGAACACGGTGAGGAGGGGGACGATGACGACCGGTTGGGGGCGTGAGCAGCGGCGGCAGCCACGGCACAAAAGGATCACAGGCGGGCAGGGCGCGGGCGTGACTCGTCTGTCGGGCGCCCGTGCTCCCCGGCCTCTTCCAGAAGAACTCACGTTCGGTGTCGCCCTGCGAGGTGTCGTCGGAGAACGGGCCCTGACCGGGCGCGCGGTGGATCGGTTGGTCTCGGCGGAGGTCGTCTTCGGGGGCTGACCTCCCTTCCTCCCCTCCTCCTCCCCCCTCCTCCTCCTCCTCCTCCTCTTTCTCCCTCTTCCCCCTCGTCCTCCTCCCCCTCCTCCTCCTCCTCCTCCTCCTCCTCCGTAGCCATTTTGGCTCAAGATGCAGGTTTCCCCTGGGAACTCAGGGGCTGGCAAGACGTCTTGAAGTCTGGTGTTTTTTCTCTTCCGCCTTCCCTGCGCTCGGGACGGTGGGTAAACGGAGGTATTTCCCGTTCCTGTCGGTCCCATCGTGCCAGAGTCCTCGGTCATGGCCGCCGCCACCGCGCACCAGCTCTCGTCCCAGGATGCCGCTGCCATCGACGTCTGCCCCACGTTCGCCACGCAGGAGCCTGCGCCCCCGCCCGTAAGGGGCTCTGGCAAGGGTGGTCGTGGCGTTGCTTTCACTAGTGTTTTTTTCTTCACGGTGGTTTCGGCAAGTTCGTTCCCCGCAAGCGTGCTGCCGCCCCTGATGAAGGCGATCAGGAGGTTGAGGATGCGTACATGTCGGACGACTACGTACGCCAGGTGTGCATGGACCTCTTCCCGACCTTGTTGGAGGGTGTCAAAGAAGAGCTGGCGAATTCGGTCAAAACATGTGTCACCGACCGCGTCGCTTCGGCCAACGGTAAGATGCTGGCCCTCGCCGACCAGCTGCGGGTCAACCTGCGGCGCTCGACCAACAGATTCTCGGAGTTGTTCGGCGGAATGTTGACGATGCTTCTCGCCGGCTCCAGGAGCAGACTGATGTGTGCACAGGCACGCTGCAGGAACATGGTGGTGGTATATCGTCGATTGAGGGAGACGAGGACGAACTCAAGAAGCAGATGCGTGAGTTCCGTGACCAGCTCGCCCTTGCTGAGAAGCGCCCCCGGGTTCCGTTGGCTGCCCCGCAGGGCTTCGAGCGCGACGTCGACGCCACGATGGTTGTCATCATTTGCCAGGCTGCTACCACCAAGCAGCTCGTGTGTGCGGCGCTCAAGGAGTGGCTCGGCGAGCTCGGCTTCCCCGAGTCAGACTACGAGATCTCTCCCGCGGGGCAGGCGCCCTGCAAGAAGTTCATCCTCAAGTTCGGCGGCCTCGTCGCCGTTGCCGCGCGCAAGGTCCTTCGCGTTCTTGCTCGTCTCCGTGTTGATGGTGTGTGGAAGGAGTTCCACGTGGACGTGCAAGGCGCCGCTCGGGCGCGCATGCACCTCGACCCAGACAAGAACCCTTGCCATATCAAAACGGAGATGCTGCTCCGCCGATGTCGCTCCGCCATCGCCGAGGCCCATCCCAACCTCCGTCTCTTCAGTGACCGCGACCATGGCACGCTCTCGGTTGGGTGGGACAGGATCCTCCGCGTCGAGGTTGCCGCAGGCGCTGCGCCTGCGACCATCTTGCGGAGCCTTGCGGCCCTACAGAGGCACAACCTGTGCAAGAACAACCTCGTGCTGCTCACGCGCCACCTCGCGGCGCCGCAAGCGGAGCTTCAGCGGTGTCTTTGATGTTGCGAAGCTGTTCAAATGCTCTACCCTTGTACACGGTGGTGCTATTCCCCCGCTACGTGTAGCGACTTGGAATGCGAGGGCCCTCTTGCAAGTGGCAGGGGCTAAAGCCGCATTCCAGAGGAGGTGCGCCGAGAAGCTGACATTGGCAAGAGTATTGTTTCTCTTCAAAAGGTCCGGCTAGATGCTGCACAACTCAGCGAATTCGGGGATCGACCCTTCGGCCACTATTCGCGCTTCATTTTGTGGCGACGCCCCCGAGGGGCGCTTTCGCGGCGGCGTGGCGACCCTCCTACCTGCTCTCAGCGCGGTGGGCGGTCACCCCGTTCAGAGTCGTGCTGCCCTACTGGTGGCTGGGCGAGTCTTCCACGTGATGGTCGTGGTCGCGGACATTCAGCTCGACATTTTCATTGTTCACAACCGCGAGCCCACGGCTGTGCAGGCCGCGGCGGCGGCGCGGGTCACCCGCAGCGCTCGGGCCTTTGCGGCCAGG